TTTTTTTCCGAAATCCATTACGTGGGTGAAGGCCCATTTTATGAATTCAATCATTTCTCGGACATTTACTACGTATTCGTATATGCTTAGTTCTTGTAAAAAGTTTGACTAATGTATTTCAAATCTACATAAAACCCTCTTCAAACCTTCGTACTTCTTTCCTGTCCAAATGACAACTCCTTTAAAGTGAAAGCACGTTTTTTCATGTCATACAGGTTGACGTGACAACACACTGACAATAACTTTAATCACATAGGTACCATGTGAACCTTATCTCCTATGACAATAATGTCAAATGAATTACTAATCACCAATATAAATGCATGTCATATTTAATGTGTTGCCACATTTTGTTAGGTCATGAATTGTTTTTTTAGTTTCCAAAAAATTCATTACGTGAGGGAAGACCATTTTATCAATTCAATCATGTGTCTTAAATTTAGTACATATTGGTAAATGCTTAGTTGTTCTAAAAAGTTTGAGTAGTGGATTTGAAATCTACTTAAAGCATAGGTTTTCATGTCATAAAGCTTGACGTGACAATGCGCTGACAATATCTTTAAACTCACAGGTACCATGTGTACCTTATCTCCTATCACAATAATGTGAAATGAATTACTAATCAACAATATAAATGCATGTAATATTCAATGCGTAGCCACATTTTGTTAGGTGGTGAACTGTTTTTTAGTTATCAAGAAATTTTTCCAGGCAACCGTTTTTTTTTTTGTTTTCCCTAACTTGTTGCAGTATGTATACCTGTGATATACTGTCAGGTCGTATTCTAATTTTGTCAGCATATGTATGTACTATTGTCAAACTTCTTGTCATCGGATATCGATTTCATATATGAAAACTTGTGCAGGTCTATGACTCATTTACCAAAGGAGATCCCATTATTGATTCATCAGCATCGAGCCGATACGATATGGAGTCAGTCGGTATGAATTATTTACCTAAAATCGATATTTGAATACTACACAAATTGTAGTTGTTACATAATATAATGTGAAATTGTAAATGTTAGTCCATGGATCATCATATTTGGACATTTCAATGGTTTAGACAAATTTCCCCAAGTGTAAACGTTAGTCCATAGAGAGAGAACGACGAAGATTATATTAAATGGAATAATTAAGAAATATGTAGTACTCTAGGGGAAAAATGTGTTGATTCACTTTTGTTAAATAATTAAGAAAAATAAATAATTCACTTAATATGTTATGATTTCTCATTTGTTGATTCATCAGTGAAGCGTTTTGCCAATTCCGAATAACATAATCTTCTACTTGCCAGCGATTTCTTATTTTATATTTTTACTGTCCTAAAAATTATATAAAATAAGAACACAAACAATTTCAATTATTGACAAAGTGACTATTTTAGCTTGTTCATTTACTTAAATAACTTTTAACTTATTTCATACTACACAACTTGCATTAATATAGTTCGAGCGACATTTTTCATTTCAAAATAAAAGACTTTAAACTCTTCCAAATATATTCATTATATGTTATATTAGTCTGTAATATGTCATTGTATTCATTTGATCCCCAACTTATTTAATTCTTATCTCAATGATGAAATGACGGCTTGGTTATATTTTACGCCCTTCTAATTTAACTGAAAACCACATAAACATCCATTGCAGTCTACAGTGAAGGGTACAACCCAACTTCGTTAACAGGTGTACCGAACATTCTAAAACTTATATTAGTTTTGATGGAGCCTTTTATTTCTATGTCATGACACTGCAAATCTGTGTCTGTATGTATTTATCTTTGTACATTTACACCACTTACGCACTATGCACCACTAAAATGTTGGTTATCTCACCCACTGTTTCAGTTAATAGAAGATGGGTTCATTATGAAAATTCAATTGTCATTTGTACAAGAATTATGTCTCTTACACACAACGTTGTCTTGTGCAGGCAAAAGATCAGCCGAAATTGAAATGCCGACGATCTGATTCAGGCTTATGGGACACCGCCTTGGACCATAGAGTCCTACGTTGCCTACTCCGTGCGGGATTCTATGGGGTGTATCGGATCGGACCTATTCGATTGGACCACCATCTCGTTACAACTCTCGTAGAGAGGTGGCGCATAGAGACGCGCACATTTCATTTTCCTGTTGGAGAGTCCACAGTTACATTACAAGATGTGGCTATTCTATTTGGCCTACCGGTTGACGGACACACAGTCACTGGAAAAGACCTAGGAAATAAGTTGGATGATTTGATAGCGCTATGTATGGAGTTGTTAGGAGCAGCACCTACACAAGAAGACTTCATAGGCTCATCGCTTAAGTTGAAATGGATATCAGAGCATTTCCGTCACCTTCCACATGATGCATCCGATGAGACGGTTCATCATTATGCTCGAGCCTATATTTTGTGGCTTATTGGGGGGGTCCTCGTCCCCGATAAGTCACAAAATATAGTCAAGATGATGTTTTTGCCACTACTTAGAGACTTTGACCGTATCCAGGAGTACAGCTGGGGTGGTGCCACATTGGCATGCTTGTATAGGATGTTGTGTCGGGCAACTAAGGCTGATACGAAGGAGATAGCTGGCCCACTAGTATTGTTACAAGTGAGTTGCAATGACTTGTAGTTTTATCTCATATTCTCAATTGCCATGTTTTCTAAAGTGCCTACTGTAATAAATTAATAATGGCATCATTCATTGTAGGTTTAGGCGTGGGAGAGACTGAGCAGGATCGCCCCTAGTCGGAAGTCGAACATTGCTGCTGGCGAGCGTCCCATAGGGGAGGGCGACCAGCTGTTACCACCTGGCCCGCGAGCTTGCAGGGTGGAGGGTTCCCTTCAGCCATGAGGTGATATCGACTAATGTCGGTGTCATCTTCCGGGACCAGTTCGACCGCATGGTGCAGGGGGAGGTTTGCAATTTGTTCATGTGAATTTACCCATTTTTTTGTTTGTCAACCTCCGTTGTATGAATAGATCTCTAAATTATTGCATTGCTATTGCAGTTCATATGGGAGTCTTACAGGACGGAGGATGACATCATGACCAGCTTCCTATCGTATTGTACCGTTGGTCGAGAACTATGGATGGCACAAGTGCTACTTATATGCTTTGATATCATTGACTGGCATCTCCCCGACGGGTGCTTAGACAATTTGGACGAGTTCAGAGTGTGCCTGATCGCTTTGACGCCCACTTGGCTATGCATTTTAGAGATAGGCGTGGCAAAATGGCCATTGATTGGACAAAGGAATACCAGACATTTATTGGTGAGTGGAACAACCGACGCAACACCATTGTCCATGCTGAGAGGAGCAATGAAGTGCTTACATCTTCGGACCCATACATGTTATGGTTTCGCCGTCATACATGTCTAGTACTTAGTAATCCGAGTGACATTGCTGCCTTCGGATACCAAGGCGTTGGGGGTAGTTTAGAGGGATTGGTAAGTTCTTTATATTCTCCAAAACAAACATTTGCTTAAGTTTGTGTATGTTTGTTATTTGGCATTGATGGTTATGTAACACAGCTACCATTACATTATAGGTTCGTAGAGTTGCGAGGGCATATCCATGGCAAACGCTACCATATTACACGCGATGGTAGAGAGGATTGGATGAACATTGCCGAGATACGGGAGTTATTGTACGATGGTTTGCAACAGGCACACCGACGTGACCGACTAGATTTCGGCCACTTTGGCGAGGATCCTTATATGGGGGTAGCTATTATAGTGACATCAATGCCGCACCCGAATATGCCATCCACTGAGCCATTGACATCAATGCCTCCACCGCATCCTACCGCACGTCATGCACATCAATCGGACTATTTCGATATGGAACACTTTGGTGAGGGGCCTTCCATGGGCCTGTCCCCTCGTGGTCCATCTACAGCAATGCATACACCACAGACTTCCCCACCTGAATGTACCAATTACACATCCCAATTTGCCCCTCAGGTAGATCCTCTAATGTTTGAACATACTTCCACACACCATGGCCATATATTGGACCCCTCCTGGTCACCACCCTCATATAGGACAGCGGTTGGTACCCCGGTGACTCCCTTAGCACCACTGTCTACTACATGTCTGTCTACTATGATTCCCTCTACGTCGACATTGACCGCACTCGACCCTTTCATAGTACCATCATCTCCTACCCCACCATTATCTCCTACACCACATATAACCTTCACGTACCATGTTGATCCACTCATTACCCATGACTTCCACATTGACGGGAAGGGGGACAGCCAGGTCCATGCACCTACCAGAAGGACAGGTAAGGGTAGAGGTTGTGGCAGCCGTCGTGGTGTAAGTAGAGGCCGAGGGCGACGCCAAGCAATAGACCATGACAATAATGCAGCGGATGATGGCGTTTCATAGCTTAGTGCCGTATGTGAAGGTGTGCCGGAGGTGGTATCAAATGATTGTACTGCAGCCATTGGTGATGTGCAGCCAGCTTCTACAAAAGCGAGCGAGGGAGTCGTACGTGTAGCTGCGCAAGATATACAGAGAGTATATAGTAAGAGACCCAGGAGACAAACCCATGGAAGGGGTTATGGAACAGGGGGAAAATTAGGACATTAGGAACAACCAACATTGGTAAGCATATTCAAACATTATCTTCAGGTGGTGTTTTCACTTGGATTAGTCTACGTTGTTTAAGTTGTGGCTTATTATATAGTTCTGGCTTTTGGCTTATCTTATCTTGTAATTGTGGCTTATTTTCTAAGATTCTAGATGCTGTTGCTGTTGCTATTTTTGTTACTGTTTTGAAGGAAGGGGTAGCTGCTTGTTGTGTTGCTGGTTGCTGGTTGCTTGCTGTTTCTTGATTCTGGTTGCTGCCGGCTGTGTGTTGCTGCTGCTGGCTTGGATCAATGAGCTGAGAATTGGGTATGAATTTTATGGTCTTTTGCAGTTTGCATGATGCACATACTTATGCATTGAACATTTTTACTCAGAGCTAATGTTGCTGAACCCTTGTTTTTTGAAGCTTGGAACTGGGTTGAGCATCATGATGGCAAAAAGAAATTCCTCCCTAGTCACAACATTTGCCTTCCTTTCATGTGGATACCTTTGTAGCTCCTACCAAGAGGTTGTCTGTTGTATATTAGTAATAATTTTTTGCCCTTTATATACTTTTGTGCCATATGGAACAAAGTGTGTCATTTTTACCTACCAAGTATTCAATTTTTTTGTTTTTGTTTTTGCGCTGGTTAAATCTGTTGTGTTGCGTACGCTGAATCGAGCCAGGTTAAATGTGGCTATAGATTCCTTCCTTAAGACAGGTTAGGACAGGTGCGCCACTCACCTGTGTTGATGGGGTTCTGTTGTTTGATCATCTCACTTAATCATCAAGTCCCATATGCACATAAAATGAAGGCCCTTTTCTGATATCCTGTGGCTTAATTGTGTTGTGCATTTATTTTGCAGGGAGAGTTCCAACACTGGAGGAGGGAAATAGGATGGAAAAAATATTCAGTTTTCCCTGGTCAAAAGAGAGGCCTATTGTTCTCGATATGCAACATGTATATAACAGCACTTGATGCACATTTTTTGGCGACTAAAATTCAAATTTGTCGGCGTTGGTTCAAGATACCAGTACTAAAATTTTTTAGTCAATAAATATTACTTATTGGCGACTAAATTTAAATTTAGTCGCCAAATATTACTTTTGGCGACTAATATTTTCGTCGTTGTTCAGTAATTTCACTATTGCTGGTCTTTTACTATTAATACCATTTTCTCAATTCCAACAGATTGACTTGCGACTCTTTTGGGTTCTCACAGAGAAGCCATTCACTGACTATTAATACCATTTTGCATGACCACTTTATTGTGGTTTATAGATACATATATATATATATATATATTATGTTTGTTTGGTATTGTTCTAGTTAGTCATGTTATCACATTGACATTCATTTGGTGAAGTAGGTTGGTTTCTTGGATTTTAGGATGTCTAATTGAATGCTAGATGACATTCTATGGAAGAGTTCACATTCTAAGCTTTGAGCAAGGTTTTGTGCTCTTTCTACATGGATTCAAGGTTGAGGCTTACAATTCATTATGGTCATGAGCATGTCTCAAATTCTCCATGAGGGCAAAAGATCTTACCTCTTTAAGTCAAAGGCACAAAATCTATAAGCGTATATATTCTGGAAAAAGAGATAACCCATCGTAATGTGTACCACATATCTGGTGAGGGACTGAGGGTTTAAGACAGAATGATGTGGAAAATTACAATCTTGTTTACTAGAGTCCATTTAAGTACTTTGTAAACCCACTAGTAGGACATTTGTAGCCCTTGTCTTCTTTTTATTTTTTATTTTTTGCTACAGGAAAGCTTGGCCTTCCCAATTATGTGCACTTTTTGATCATTCCAACTTTTATTGTTTCATATTATTTTTTTAAAGTTGGACAACTTTTTTATTTGCAGCAAATAAAATGTAGTACAGTATATAGTTCCTTAATGCTTACTGTGTTGTTACCTTTCACGATTATAATTTAATCAGTTTAAATTCATAAATGATGAAACCTTTTTATTAAATATAATAGGGAGCTTTTGAACTGGGCAAAGCTTTTTGGTCTCATTCATTCACTAAAATTTAGCTTGGTCTGTGTTATACATTCTCCCGTGCGTATAACTTCAGTAGATTTCCATGTTTCCATTACTTCGTCCTTGACAGTTTTTCTATGGAATTCTCCCTGTTTATTTCTTGTTTTGCTTTGATTATTTTTTCATTGAATAGATGTATCCCTTGCCTTTGAGTTTGAAATTGTTTAGCAATGAGGACGTCACGTGAAATCAAATTGCTTTGCCATATGGATCATGAGAATGTAATCACAACTTTACATAAATTATAGTGCTTGCTTAGTTGTTTGGGGTCACAGATGATTGAATAGGAATAGAGCTTCGCACTTAGTATGATTTTAGCTTAACTGAAAAGGGCGTTAAGGGGGCGAAACTGCAAAACAGCCTCCGAACCACCGTTCGGATATCATAGCCAGCTTTCCCGTGACAAATAGGACCTGTGACAACAGATGGAATGTAATTAGCACGTGTAGGTTGGAAGTTAGAGCAAAAAATGCCTTAAACTTAACCGAAAAATAGCGTTAAGGGGGTGAAACAGCCTCCGAACCACCATTCGGATGTCACAGCCACCTTCCCCATGACAAATAGGACATGTGACAACAGACAGAATGTAATTAGCACGTATAGGTTGGGAGTTAGAGCCGAAAACGCCTTAAACTTAACTGAAAAATGGCATTAAGAGGGCAAAATTGTGAAACAGCCCCCAAACCACCATTCGGATGTCACAGCCACTTTTCCAGTGACAAATAGGACGTGTGACAACAGACAGAATGTAATTAGCACGTGTAGGTTGGGAGTTAGAGCCGAAAATGCCTTAAACTTAACCGAAAAAGGGCACTAAGAGGGCGAAACTGCAAAACAGCCCCCGAACCACCATTCGGATGTCATGGCCACCTTCTATGTAACAAATAGGACCTGTGACAACAGACGGAATGTAATTAGCACGTGTATGTTGGGAGTTAGAGCCAAAAACGCCTTAAACTTAACCGAAAAAGGGCGTTAAGGGGGCGAAACTGCGAAACAGCCTCTGAACCACTGTTTAGATGTCACAGCCAGCTTTCCCGTGACAAATAGGACCTGTGACAGCAGACGGAATGTAATTAGCACGTGTAGGTTGGGAGTTAGAGCCGAAAATGCATTAAACTTAATCGGAAAAGGGCGTTAAGGATGCGAAAAAGCTAATTGATAAACTCACTTTGTTGCTGTATAATTGATATTGTGTGTTATATTCTCATAAATCGTTATTTGCCTATTTTAGTTGAAATCTTTGAAATGACAATATGTTAAGCTAAAAGGAATCATTGACTGATTTTTCTTTATTTAGTCTTACTATATCAATTGGTATATTCGTTGTGTTATTCATCTAAATTCAACTGAGTTAGTTATCTAATTTTTTCCTTCTCCATAAGCCAAATTACTTGTTAAATAAATTGAACCATATTATGTTTAAACAAAAATCAAGCTTTGCATTTTTGATTACTTACCTCACTGGTTTTTGTTGCAGATTGAAAATGTTGGCATGGATACAGTGATGTTTTTGGGACAACTTGATGATGTTTGCATGGGCGCAATTTACATTATATTTTTTGTTTATGGAAAACATGTACAACTAATATGTTTTGTTATTAAGATTTTTTTTTTTTAGTTTGAATTGTAATTGTTGGTTCGGATAGTATATGTATTTGTTAGATTATACTATGTTTATGGATTCTTATTTTCTTTGATATGTACGGTTAATAGTTAAGTTGTGTATATGGTTGAAAATTGAATGCTACAGGTTGTGGAGAAATATTTTTATTCAATGGTTGAGAATTGAATGAATGAATGGATGGATGAATAATTTTGTATATGCACAGGTTACAGGTGAGAAAGAGTATTATTTCTTGTAGTGTTATTTGGTGTTTGAACAGGCATGTTGTTTTTTCTTAATGGGTTGAGCTTCCCAAAAAAACTCCAAGTTAATGTAGACTTGTATTGGGCTGTTGTTATATAGCTTTTTTTTTCATCTTACTCAAATGGGTGAATATAATATTTTTACTCACCAAACATACAAATAGATTTGTATACATTTTTTGTTTGTTTGTTAGGGAGTGCTCTTTCCTTTGCAATTCTTTATTAGTTCATTACTTTCTTTATTGAATTGCAATGAGTTAATGAATGTTCTGGATTAATGAATGGACTCTCTCAGGTATCTTTAATGCTTTGGAATTTTCATGTTTGGTTTTTGAATTTTCAATAATTAAATTAAACATTAATTAGAGATTTCCACCATAAATTTTTTAGAGATTTCCACCATAAATTTATTTTAGGTTTTAAAATTAATTAAAAGACCTTCCAAATATTTAATTTGCACTTTAGGATTGACCACCAAAATATTTAGGATTGTAATAAGATTATTATTTAATTATTTACTTAATTTTTATATTCGGGTTCTCACAGAACAGGTAGCTCAGTCAAAATTTTCCCTCAATAAGGGCTCCTAAAATAGTGACCTCTACGTAAAGAATTTCAATTCCCATTAGGAAAGAAGAAAGAGCCACCTTCTAATTCTTGGAAGTCCAGTCAAATTGATGAGTCTAGTAAGGAATGGGGGGTTGACAGAAAACTAAACTTGGGGGCTGGACAAACATTACCCAAAAACAAGTGGTTGGTCCAGTTGGGGGAGTAATAAAGGTCAGACAAACGAACTACCGCCTTCAACAACACAGAAAGTAGAACAGGTGGTTCAGTCAAAAGCTTCTCTTAACTGGAGCTCCTCAAATAGTGACCTCTACGTAAAGAATTTCAATCTCCACCAGGAAAGAAGAAAGAGTCACCTTCCAATTCCTGTAAGTCCAGTCAAAATGATGAGTCTAGTAAGGAATGGGGGGTTGACATAAAACTAAACTTGGGGGCTGGACAAACATTACCCAAAAACAAGTGGTTCGTCCAGTTGGGGAAGTAATAAAGTTCAGACAGATGAACTACCGCCTTCAACATCACAGAAAACAGAATAGGTAGCTCAGTCAAAAGCTTCCCTTAACTGGGGCTCCTCAAATAGTGACCTCTACGTAAAGAATTTCAATCTCCACCAGGAAAGAAGAAAGAGTCACCTTCCAATTCCTGTAAGTCCAGTCAAAATGATGAGTCTAGTAAGGAATGGGGGGTTGACAGAAAACTAAACTTGGGGGCTGGACAAACATTACCCAAAAACAAGTGGTTGGTCCAGTTGGGGGAGTAATAAAGTTCAGACAGACGAACTACCGCCTTCAACAACACAAAAAACAGAACAGGTAGCTCAGTCAAAAGCTTCCCTTAACTGGGGCTCCTCAAAATAGTGACATCTAAGTAAAGAATTTCAATCTCCATCAGGAAAGAAGAAAGAGTCACGTTCCAATTCTTGGAAGTCCAGTCAAATTGATGAGTCTAGTAAGGAATGGGGGGTTGACATAAAACTAAACTTGGGGGCTGGACAAACATTACCCAAAAACAAGTGGTTCGTCCAGTTGGGGGAGTAATAAAGTTCAGACAGATGAACTACCGCCTTCAACATCATAGAAAACAGAATAGGTAGCTTAGTCAAAAGCTTCCCTTAACTGGGGCTCCTCAAATAATGACCTCTACGTAAAGAATTTCAATCTCCATCAGGAAAGAAGAAAGAGTCATCTTCCAATTCCTGGAAGTCCAGTCAAAATGATGAGTCTAGTAAGGAATGGAGGGTTGATAGAAAACTAAACTTGGGGGCTGGACAAACATTACCCAAAAACAAGTGGTTGGTCCAGTTGGGGGAGTAATAAAGTTTAGACAGACGAACTACCGCCTTCAAAAACACAGAAAACAGAACAGGTAGCTCAGTCAAAAGCTTCCCTTAACTGGGGCTCCTCAAAATAGTGACTTCTAAGTAAAAAATTTCAATCTCCATCAGGAAAGAAGAAAGGGTCACCTTCCAATTCCTGGAAGTCCAGTCAAATTGATGAGTCTAGTAAGGAATGAGGGGTTGACAGAAAA